TTGTGTTCATTTCAAGTCGGACAATAATGCCTACTGAGTCAGAGTGCTGTATAGAGATGGAAAAGGTATAGTTTAGTAGTTTAATTACGGTTATTATAACATATTTGTCATCTGCTTGTATGTATCGATTATTTATTAATAGCCTACAAGTCTGCTGTGTCGGAGCAGGTCCGAATGATGATCAAACATATACTGATAAGTTTAATAAGGTTTATTGTACATCACACAAAAGATGAAGCGTCAGTTTTACTTCACCGTAAGAGCTGAGTAAACACAGTAAATTATAAGAAGTGCGAAAGTTGAGGGAGCATTCCTCTGGGCGGACGTTAGTCAAAAAACTGTTCTACTGACGTCATTAAAGGAGGAAGTAGAGGGATGTAGTCCAAACGGGATGTTCAAACTTTAGTTAGTGTGTAATGTTGTTGTTAGAGTATCACGAAGAACGGGACCTTTAAAGAAACAGTAATAATAAAAACACGGCACACTGGTTTATCTGCTTTTTTGGTTGAGCATCAAGTTTGGATGCTCCTTCGTTGGAATTCAGATGCTGAATTGCAATGTAAAAAACACAAGTACAAGCAGTAACAAACACCATAGAAACTTGCTTTGTTTTTGCTGAGTCTGATGCTTTGTCCTTGTATAGCAAATTATGCTGCATCAATATCTCCCTTGTTTTGCATTGTTCTCTGCTGGTTTCTTCCGAACTTGGTAGGGGTTCAAGGACTAAACTGACCCTTTCACAGTTTTCTCTCTGCTGTTTCCGATAAATCCATATTATTTTCTCTCTTTCTCACACTTACACTCTCTTCCTTTTTGCCAAATTTAGTTCCTCTCTCTCCTCCCTCGCTTTTCCCCATCATGATAATGATGACCTTGAGAATTACTTGCCTATTAGATTCATCGTCATGATGCGAGATTAGAGAGACGGTGAAAGATGTGTGTATTTGAGTGTATTTAATCATGCACTTGTGTTTGAGTGTGATGGACTCCTGTGGTCCAACTGTATCGCGTGCAGTACTGCATATTAATGAGTGTGCATTTCTCATCTGACGCATCCTTCCTTATTGCTCTGTAAGAACCACGAACAGAAACCGCACTGAGGTTGATTTGCAATCAGATCTGACCCATCTCATTATAACACGGCGACGAGTTCGTTGGCTAAACTAGTTTTGGATCTGCAAGTGATTATATTGAACTATGCATAAGTACCTGGCACATTGCCTGAAATCTCCTATCATCTTTTTTTTTTTTTTTTTTTTTTTTTTTAAATAGAGGTATAGCAGCAGGTTGGATCCTGTCCTCCTTTCTTTTTTTCTGTCATTTACCAGATGGACTGCAGGAAGGCCGTCTTGTTCCCTGAGCCTACCATACATTATTAATGATACAAATCATTAAGAACTCTCTCTCTCTCTCCCTTGCCATCTCTGTTAATACGAGCCCTTTCTGTGAAGCATCCTTAAAAACACATCCTCAACTCACCCACACATACATGCCATGGTTTCTTCTTTTGCCTTTTGTTATGATCAGAAGGATTTCTGACCCATGAGTCAACTATGTATCATTAATGTGCTCTCATGTATTCATATCACGTTCTTCAGCCGGATTGAAGCATGACTAAAAAGCCAGTTCCTTATCCATGTGTGTATTTTGATTTAAACGTAACAATACTAATAAAAACAAATAATAATGTAAGGTTTTTGCATTGTTATTAAAAAATATTACATAGACAAATTTTTTTTAATAATATATATTTATACACACAAGTTACATAACCAGATTACTTTTTTTTTTCAAGTAGCTAGTAAAGAAACACATTACTTTTAAATGTACAAAAAAAAAATAATACTCATAATTATTTTTTCAAATAAGAAACTGAAATTACTTTGGTCTCCCATTATTGACTGGCTGACAGCTCGCCTGTACTCATGTTGAAAGAAATTGGGAGTAAAGCTCGACTCGACTACTGTAATGTACTTTTTTTCTGGACTACCAGCACACTCTATCTCACGTTTGCATTATAGTCAAAAATCTGCTGCAAGATTACTAACTTACATTTAACAATCTGCTCATATCACTCCAATTCTGTTCAAACTCCGCTGGCTTCCCGTGTTATCCAATTTAACATTCTTCTGCTCACTCAATGGTCTTGCTCCTATCTTTAACTTACTTTCTGCTTATATTCCTCCTCAAACTTCTGATCTTCTGGCCGTGAACTTCTCTGCGAGCCAAGATTTCGTCTTTCAGTGACGGGTCTCTCTCCGTTAAGCTTTGGAACTCTCTTCCCCTCGCTCTTAGGACAACAACCAAGCTGCATGAATTTAAGTCTAAAAAAACATTTCTTTCAACAGTGTAATCAGTTATGACATGTTTTTCTTAAACATTTTTCATAAATCTGTATTACAATTATAATGTTAATTTAGGTACCATTAGTCAACTGCCCACCTTCCATGCTGTCTGTAATAGTGTTGTTTCTGTTTTTTGTTTTGTCTGTATTCCAAATGTAATGCGATATGCAACTGCAGTCGCTCATTTTCTTGGACTGTCAAATGTCTATTGTCTGTTTATGTGTGAACTGATTGTTCTTTACTGTTTTGTGAAGTGTCCTTGAGCTCGGGAAAGGCGCTATATATATATTAAACGTATTATTATTATTATTATTATTATTATTAAAGGTGCAGTGGCATTATGTAGGCCGTGTGAACTTATCGTCTTGTAAATTTCACTTTATTAACAAATTTCTTTGCTGCTGACCTTCGATGATCCAACAATGCTAAGCAAAAATGACTTTAGTTAAACATCACTTTTGTTTCATTTTTTTAGTTATTTTGTGTTGAACTTTATTCTCCTGCATCATATTCTACTGTAATCCAGAGTTGGAAGCACAACTGAAAGTTTTCTTTGAGTTGCATTCTCAGTACAGGTGTGAATTTGCACTTCCTTTAGCCTGAGGCTTATTCACTTTACTTTTGGCATGAAACGGCCTTTACAGTTACCAAAAACAGAACTCTTTCTTTTTGGTCAAACAAGCAAGCACAGCCCAGTTGAGAGAGTATCGTAAAAGTAACGTGTAACATTACTTTCCATAAAAAGTAACTAAGTAATATTATTGTTGTTGTTTTTACATATAATAAAGTAGCATGTTTTACCTTTGTCCTATTATAACTTCGACTATTGGTTGTTAGTTCATTTAAATTTTTTTAATTCAAAATATTTAACTATATCGTGAACGATCTGATATTCCTATTCTCAAATAGGCCTACATGTAAGTAAATCTATTTTGACATTTAAACACTAGTTTATTGACTAATGAAATGTTATTTGATCTCTAACTGGCGATGCTAGTCAGAATTGTCGGATTTACAACGGATTTTGTCGGCTACATTTATTCACTTCTCCTAAAAGGCATGAAAGTAAGTGGGCATAAGTTAACATTAAGTTAATATTATATCTAATATTTTTAAAACATATCATATCACTTTATATGGTTCTGCCTCCAGCCAAAGCACGGATGCAGATATGAATTTAGCAGTTGATAATGTGCCGCACTGAACGTCTAATCACACCTGTAAGATTGTATTAAATGTAACAATATATGGAAGCTGCATTCAAAATCTATTTGGCTCAAAAATCCTTTTTGAATGGGCATGACGCCTCTGATCGTTTTGTTTGTGATTTGATCGATGTATGGATCCATATCCGTGTATTGTTACACCCGTCAGTGGTGTATCGTCAATGTGATCTCATATTCATATCATGTCCTTAGTTTGACAAAGAATGACTTGGTATGAACAGAACTTATGTATGGCCTTCAATGTAATGTTATGCAACCCTAATATTACGCATGTTGTCTTAGCATGTGCTTGCTTATGTGTTCTCTGCATGATCCTTCATGTATTTCCACCATCTGTTCCATGTCTTTACTCCTGTGGTGCTTGATGTCACATTTACACCGTGTCCTATGTGACAAGCAAGGAAAGCTCTGAGCTTTTGTCCTAACTACCTGCAACCGTGACAGGAAATGTTGTTGATCACTTGGTTTCTATTTTTGCAGCATTGGGTTGCCCCATCCACAGTGAAATCTCATTAGTCCAAAAGTTTCGCTTGGCATTGCACAATAAACAACATATCTTCTAACCGGCTGTCACACACCTGCAGTGTGTGTCACACCGTGTGTCTATTTTGTATTCAAACTTCTTGAATTGTACCCTTAGGACAAATATGTGACCTTTGGATGACCTTGATGATTTTAATGGTCATTATGTTAGAGAAGGTGGCATAGGTAAACATCTGATTTTAAAGAGTGTGTGCGTGACTGTTTATTGACATCATTATTGTTTTTGTGCATGTGTATGAGAGAAGGATTTGTGTGCGTGTGTTGCAGCTAATGGACACAGAGTCCTGTCCTTCATCAGCTTTATCTGCTAACTTGGGCAAAAAAAAACAACCTCCCCTCCCCATGCAGAGGACATTCTGCTGTCATGGCAACCTCGCCATGTTTCATGGCAATCATGCAACACTTCCTTGACACTTCCCCGACAGGCTCCCGCTAAACCCTCATGCAAACAGGATCATTATCACAATTTGTTTCCTCATGCTTTTCACTCTTACTTCAATTACTGTCATTATCTTAATTTTTTTAAAGGGATACTACCCCTTTAAGATCTTTCCACATTTATTTGTGACCATGTTAAATTTGGTCACCTTACCCTCCTGGTGGTTTCTCTGAGTGTAGAGGGACCTCCATGGCCCCCCCTCCCTCCCCCAGCCAGCCTCAGCATCACTCTCAAGGGCCCTTCCCATATACTTTCAGCACCATGGAGAGCTCCGATCCCTAGAGCTCCCAATATTCCTCCACAAAGGAGTCTGCGGAAACCGAGAAAGAGAAAAGGGCAAAGAGAAAGATTAGCACAATCACTGCAGATAAGAGACTGTACCTTTAAAAGAGAGAGAGAGATAGAGAGAGCGCAAGAGGAGAACAACAAAACCATGTTAATCTATCATATCACTGACTGTTTTTTTCTTTCTTGTTGCTAAGTACAAGATGTGTGTTTACTAAAAGCTCTTTTCTGCTTCTCCAACACTTGTAAGCCAGCTCAATAGCACGGAGCGAGCAAGGACGTACACACATGCACACACGACCGCACACGCGCGTTCTCCCTGACTCGCGCGCACACACACGTCGCCTCACACGCGTACGGCGCTGCTGCCTGCAAGAACCAGCTGTAGAGAACGAGCCCATCTCGCGCGCCGAGAGAGAGGGAGAGGACAAGAGCGAGAGAGCAAGACAAAGGAAGGCAGGGACGGAAGGAGAAAAGGAGCGAATAGAAGCGCGGCCGGCTCCGGGAGAGGTTAAGGACGCGAGTGAAGACAAGAGAGAGGAGGAGGACCAGGAGGGTGGATCAGGAAGCAGGCTGGTGGCTCTCTCTTGTAGGCAGCGGAGCGCGGTGAAGGCATTATGGGAAATGCACCATCCCAAGGTATGTCAACCTTGTATTTATCTGTTCTTATGTAGCAGGTTTTTTTTTCTTTTTTCTGCCGTGTATTTTTTCCTCATTCGCTGCTTTTCCCCCCTTTTGCTTTTGGTGAGAGGGTGGGGCAAGGTGGGGTTGGAGGGGGTGTGTGTGTTTGTGTGCATATTGATCTTTTGGTGGTTCATATTGCTCAGTATCTGTGGGATCTAAAGGCTCTACTGGTGAGCTGGGTATCCAGGGATGGGAGTGATAAGGCTGGCTCAGTGGGTGTGGAAGCTCAGAGATGAATTGAGGGATCCATGCCTGGAGAAACAGAAGGATGGGAAAGAGGGAGAGGGGGAAAACATCCGTATTCTAATGATGCTTTTGCGTGAACGTGTGTGTGTGTGAAAGAGAGAGACGGCGTGTATATTTGTGGTTTTGCATTTTAGCTTTCAGTGGCCATGTAAGAATAACAGTTGGAAACATCACACCCATTAAACACTGGAGTGAGTGTGTGAGCAAGTGGTGAGAGAAAATTTTGTGGTGCTTGTGAATATATTTACTATTTGAACCCTGATGAATAAACTTAGCTGAGCAACTCAGATTATTTGTCTTGTTGATTAGAAGTTGCTATTACTTTGCAAGCATTTGGACTTACCTGTTGGACTATAAAAACAATCAAAGACATAGTCACATGCGAGATGTTTTACCATAATTCGCCATTATGCTGTTCCATGCCTGTATGACTGGCTTTCTTCAGTGGAACACACAAAAAAATATTTTTAAAAATAATTCAGTTGTTTTTGTCCATACAGTGAGAGTAACCCCACTGATTGTCATAGTCTTCATAGTTTTCTTCAAAATATTTTCTATTGTGTTTATGATGGTTAGTATATAACGATAGTATTTGCATTTTTGTGTGAACTATCCCTTAAAGGCCTCTTATGAATTGGGTCACTAAGCAGCCACCCAGAACACCCTATCAGCCGTATAGCAATACCCTGGCAACCACCCACATCAGTGTAGGATTGTAGTGGTGAGTTTTGCCTAGATAAGCACTTGCATTTTCTTGAGAAAATCTAGTTTTAGATTCCTCTTTGGTCTTGTATCACATGTTCAAAGTCACTTCTGCGGAGAGTAGGCTGCAAAATGGATGCAAAAAAAAAAAAGATAGAAAAGTCCAATGAGAGATGGACAAAGAGGAGCTTAGAGGCATTTGTCCCTGAAGTCTGTTGGGAGAAGAAAGAAGGCATCACAAGAATGAATGATAGGAATATTTCATATCTATGAGGCCTGAGACAGAAATACTACACGAGAACATAAGAAAAATCTTCAGCAGTGAAAAACGCATATACAAAGCAGATGAGAGATATATTGAAACCAGGGAAATGCTTGCTTGAAGTGAGAGTGAGGAAGGCAGGCAGAGAGTAAAAAAGGAGGAGACGGGCTGCTGAAGGCATACCCACACTCTCTTGGGACAGACCAGCTTTGGTAAGCACGAAAGGGAGGGCCGATATGCCTAAAAAAGAAGGAATTGCAGAGGATGGAGAACACTGATGCTTCATTGCATGAACTACACAACTGATAATCCGAAGAACGGGAGAACAAGAGTCTGAGAACATTTATCAAATTCAATCTTTCTATTCCTTCTTTTCCTAAATGCCCTAAATGTAGATCCCTCATAGTCAACAACAATTTTTGAAGGCCACGTGACTTTTCCAGTCATTCGGATGGAAAAAAAATTACTTTTAAAAGTAGTTTTTACACACAATTTATACTCCATAAAATATTTTAGACCTTGGCATAACTAGAAAAATGTATGTTTGTATTTCTTTACATGACTTTTATACCAGTAACAAACCAGTTACAAGCAGATATTTTATCTATTTAATGTGTTCAAGCTTTTTTTTGAAAGATGTTGACAGCTTGGACCAGCTATTAATTAGCTTTAGGCCAGCTTATTGGCCAACTTGGACCAGTTAATGATCAGATAATCACTAGTTTTGACCAGTTTGGAACAAGCTAATGGCCAGCTTGGATAAGTAAACAATTAGCATGGACCAGTTAGAAACCAGCTACCATGGTCCAAAGTTGGTTCTTTTTTTTCAGCCCCCTTTAACAGTATTTACCCATTTCACAAGAAAATATGGCAGAAGCAATGTGACGAAAGCTAAATAGAGAGTGAAGAGTGCAGAAAGTGGAGGTGTAGAAGGTGTGGAGGATGGAAAGAGTAAGAGCAGTGCTAGGAATGAAAAGGAGAAATAGGTGTCAAGAAAGGCTGGTGGGTGTAACGAAAACATAAAGTGGAGATGAAAGAAAAGAGGGGGATGAAAGCACTACTAGGATGAAAGGAAGGGATAGAGAGATGAAGGAGATACAGTTCCTGGATGAAACTTTAGGATATCTTGAGTGATCTAGTTTCATTCTCATGGTAAGAGTGTTCGAGTAGCCTATGCATGATGATGGTTGAGTAATACTCTGCGTATAATGTGCTGGTTGTGTAATGTTTCCCGAAAGCATATATTGAAGTATCTAATACAGATTCTCTATAGACCTTATGCACCAGAGAAACAAGGGCACCGCCATCTTTAGAATATTGTCTTTGAACTTCCATTTTTGCGGTCGCTCTGTATATTTCTATGGCATTGCTGTCCAGGAGTAATTAGCTTTTGAAGTGGATCCACTTAATGTAAAGTTAACGAAAGTTATCATGAGGATTGTAATGTAAAGCGAATGTCTTAAATGCCAGCAGACCGGGAAGATTTTAAACGAGCCGTTCATTCATAAAAAGGCAAGAACAAAAGACAACGAGCACAGCGCTGAAAATGGGTGGGGCTACGTAAGGTCGATACGAGTCTACAGTATCCTGTACAAAGGATCTAAGGATATACAATTTGCAGCTGTAATAACTTCACAATTTTTACTTTTGGAACATGAATACACTTAAATGAATTATTTTTAACCTGACTGAATCCACCGTCACAAGTGTCTTCTCTTACCCATGTGAAGTGTAGTGTATATGTTAAAATAGCCATCCTGAAACCTCACCAATTTTGTCTGCCTTCTCATTGTTGCTGTTGGGGTGTGTCTGTGCAGAAGATGTTTTGGGGGTGAATGGCATGTAGTGGAATGGTTCCAAATGACCACCTTTTACAGTTCCACCAGAGGGTCGTATCATGCAATGCCTGTAACCTTAGTGTCAAATAACGATAAATGGATTGCATTTATATAGCGCTTTCACAGCCCCAATGGCCACCAAAGCGCTTTACATTTTGCCTCGCATTCACCCATTCCAGACTGATCTCATGAAGTAGCGTGTGTATGCCACGCCAATTCGTATTTCCATTTTTGGCGTGCTATCAAGACGCATAATCGCCTTTCAGCGCGTTTATGAACGCCGTTGACTTAACATTATATAAATATATGACTTACCTCAACCCCGTCCCTAAACCTAACCGTCACTGGGGTTAATGGCATTTATGACTGTTCCCTTACCATCCTAGGAAAGAAAAAGATATGACTTACCTCAACCCCATCCCTAAACTTAACCGTCACTGGGGTTAATGGCATTTATGACTGGAGATTTGACTGCGTGTACTGAAACGCGGAATGACGCGGACGTTAATGGCATAGACATACACGCATACACGCGGATACACGCGGATAGCTCAAAATGCGTAGAGATAACACGCCACCTGACTCGAAAGTGGCGTGTATGTTTACGCAAAAGTCATGATGTCATGTTGCCCATTCATACACTCATTCATTCACCGATGGCGGTGGTAAAACTGCTTTAACAGTTCGATATTTATTTTAAACTCTAAACAGCTCATCCTCTCCTGTATGAGGTCAGAAACTCTCCGCATCTGTTTTCGCATACCAGTTGATAGAGCACAGTTTGGCAGTATATATATTATATAATAACTGAACATCATAACCATTGCCATAACTAAACGTCAGCCCTGTACGGAGGCTTCCTACGGCTCAGCGATTGAACTGTAAAGATGTCATTGGATACTCCACTTTTTTTTGGAAATAGGCTCATTTTACCATTCCCCCATAGTTAAAGAGTTGGGTTTTACTGTTTTCAAATCCATTTAGCCGATTTTCTGATATTTAGAAGAATATCAGTAACCAGTCATTGACTTCCATAATATACCATGGAAGTCAATGAGACCAGAAACTGTCTGGTTACTGTTATTCTGCTAAATATCAGAAAATCAGCTGAACACATTGGAAAACGGTAAAACCCAACTGTTTAACTCAGGGGGAATGGTAAAATGAGCCTATTTCCAAAAAAAGTGGAGTATCCCTTTAACAGAAGTATATCAGAGAGTAATAATGTCGGTTAGCCGGAAACTTACACAATATAAAACAGAAAACTACATATTTTGAACACCTAGTAGAAAATATATATTTATTCATACTTACTGGTTGATTCTGAGGAGCAAACTCGTCAAAATAAACTGGGCGTTTTTGTGAATCCCGCATTTAACTGAAAACGTCATTAAAATCACATTTGAGGGCTGGTCAACTGTTTCATGGGGGGACAACGTACGACACAGACGGCATTATGCTAATGAATCTTCTAATGACGTAAAACAGTAAAGCAGTAGGATTTTAATAAAAAACGACTCGTATTGGTGGTTCACAGTCGATTGTTTTGGGAGACAATAACTTTATTTATCGTGGACTTTCGACTTTACAACTTTGCAGAATGTCTACGTTCATAAACCGCTATTACACACATGAAAGATAATATTCGAGAAATAACACATGGGGCACTTTAACCATTTCTTGCAGGGACGTTTAAAATCTTAATGAGAGTTTTGACTCTTTCTACAACCACACAATTTTTTAAAAATAAACTGAAAGAAGTTGACATCCCCATTTTCTAATCATATTTATTGGCAGCAAAAAAATATAACCCACAAAGCACATCCAACTTGTTCTCAAAAATTGTTTGTGACTGTAAAATGTCTATGAGCAGAACAGCATTAGCACTTCAAACAGGACTGACAGCT